TATACGACAGCCCTAAAAGTATTTTCGTCGAGAATCTCAAAATCGCTGTATGAAGAAATTAAGGAACATTACGCGAATAGTTTGTTAGTCCACAAAATAGCAAATAAAAATTCGATCGTCTGTTTTACAGGTGGATGAGGAACGTTCGCTGCCTGTATCCTCCGCCGGATCCTACGACAACAAAGCATTCGTGGACCATCATGAGGTCCAGCGCCAAGTGGAAATGCGTACTTCGAGCTCCTTGTATTCGGAGACAGTTGCCGCGGAGGTGGAGACCTCCTCGATGACAGCCGCGAACGCTTCGAGGATCGTGGTGCCGCGACACCCCGTGGCCATCCCGATCGAGCCCAAGTTCGACGTGCAGATGCGGGTTAAGAGGGCACCGCCGCCGCCGAGCCCGTTGCCATCGGAATCCGACGTTGCGAGCATTGCCCTCGAGAGGAATCTGACGACCATTCTGGAGAGAGAGGAGACCTCTCGCTCGCTAGAAAGCGCGCCCTACCGAATGACGACCTTCTCCTACGTGCCCGAGCTTCACGGACCACCGTCGTCCGTCTCGACCATCTCTCGGCAGCAGACGCCGCCGGTCTACTCGAGGATTTTACGCAAGCAGGCGGAGAGGGAGACCGTGATCCAGGAGAAAATCCCGTCGCCGACAACCGAAACCCGCTCGCTGACCGAGGTGACGGACTCTTCGCACGCCAAGTACCGAGTGGCGAGCATCCTGGCGCCGACCCCGCCGCCGCCGCCGCCGATCGTGCCTACCACGTCCACCACCACGACCCATACCGCCGTGCAACACCGCGAGCATCGTCTCTTGCGCGAAGAAATGGCCGAGCCGCTGGTCGAGCCGCAAGTAGTCGCGCCCCGCCGTCCGGAGATCACGACCCACGAGGTGGACGACGTGTTCCTGCGCACCGTCACGGAGAAGAAGACGATCGAGGACGTGGAGCGTCACAGTCGCCAGATCACCGAGTACCGCGCCAGGTCTCAGCCGCTGCCGGATCTGAAATGGGACGTCACCATCAGGAACTATCCGACGGAGGACCTGCCGCCGCCGCCGCCGGAATGGGAGAACTTCTCCGACGTTAGCTCGGCTTCCAATTTGACCATTACGAACGAGCCGACGAACCATCTAGCGGACGACGAGCCGGATGTGAACATCGAGCCGACTTATACCACGCGCGCCGAGATCCCGTGCCGGCCGCCACCCGCCGCGCGCCGTTCCCTCGACGACGCCGACGCCGATTGGTACACCAGGTTGGCGCGCGTCCTCGAGCCGCGTTACGCCACCGAGCTGACGGAGGAAGAGCGCGCCAAGTGGCGCGAGATCATCACGACGGAGAGCACGCTGCGGACCCTGCTAACCGAGGCGGTGGTCAAGGAGGACTACGAGCTGATACGCAAGGATGCGAGATACGTCAATCTCTTCCCGCCGGCGAAGTGGGACGTGATTATCCGGATCCTGAGTCCGCCGTCGACGCACACCGGCTCCACCTCGTCCTCCAGCCACGGCAAGAACCACGGGCAGAGGTACAAGCGGTCGAAGTCGTCGGAGTGGGACACCAGATCCAGACGCTCCTCCCTTCCCACTTTGTACGAGTACGAGAGCGACGGTGGCAGCTCGGCGCGCACCCTAGGCACCCATCATCTGCAGACGTCGCAGTCCGCCACGACCATGTCCGGACAGATCATCGGCCGTCCACGCCGACCGGGCGGCTCTATTCGCTCGCGGGGAGCCGGAGTTGGCAGCGAGGCCGATCTGAGGTCGATGTCCGAGATAACCGTCCGCGATTTCGCCCGGATGGACAGGGACGACCTGACCAGCTTGAGCTCCTTCGAAGGCGCGGACTCGCTGGTCAGATCGCTCAGCCAGCCCAGCCTGGCCAGATCGGGCTCGGAATTCACCGAGCACTGGGGCATGCCCTCCGGCATTCTGCCGCCATGGGCGACCACGGAGGACGGCGTCAGCTCGGTGGAGACGACACCCAGGGCGATCAGGAGGGGCGACAGGCTGGAGGTCCTCGCCTCCTTCGACGAGCACAGACGGGGCCCGTCCATCACGAGATCGAGCCGGTACACCGAGAGGGAGCTCAGCGTGCGCGTGACGGAAAGCCAGAGGGCCTCGGACTGGTTCAACGACAACAATTCCGAGCCGGAGATGCAGATCTGAGCGCTTCCGAAACAGATCACAGATTCTCGGTCTTTACCTCGAATCCTTTGCGGAGATGACATTCCTGGATCTCGACGAAGGTCTGAGTAGAGTTATTAGGGATGAATGTCGACAATAGGGGCAACACCGTACCGTCCGCACGAAATCAAACACCTTGAGATCATTTCTTTTCGACGAGAGGAGAGTTTGCTTATTGTCACCAGTAATGTCACCAATCATTTCTTTTTATAATTCTTTGAGCAGCGAGTCTTTTAATATACAATAAGACTGGTCACTCGAAGCGGGTTCATTCGCAAATTGTATCAACGGATACAACCATTGCATTCCGAAGATTCACGATGTTTTAACAAATTCTGGCGAGAGAGAATTAAAATTTTAACTCCGAGATTCTAATAGATTTTACATTTTAAATAAAGTAAAGAATCCTTTGACGCCAGTACATGATTAACCAATGTAGAAAAATTGCTAGACCAATTCGACCACTGAGTGTCGGTGAGACGCCCGCCTAGAGTGTAGGGAAGTCCAGGTTCAAACCCTGGCCGAGGTGATATTTTTCGCAATAAATTTCTTTAATTAGAATTTGCCAGTCTAGCGTCGTCTAGCAAATTTTCTGCGTTTGAAATAATGTTTGGAAAAAAACGTGCCGTTCAGAAAGTCCAAGGAATACCGCGAAATGAAAGGAGATTCGTCAAAGGATCGGTAGGGCTTTCATCTTAATCATTCGCAACTTTCACACCGTTTCATTTAATTTTTTTACCCCATCGCGAGCCACAATACGATGGATTATGATTTATGCGGGCACCGCTCGTGTTTTTCTTACAAACACTGTTTCGGTCGATGCTGTGTGACTGGCGCATCACGAGTGCAGGCCGCGTTTGTTTTGCTCTCGACCCGGAACGTCCTGATATGATCGATATCTTGCCAAGAATGAGGCGCGATGCACACGTACTCTCTTGCACACAGCAGCGGCGGCAGCGACGGGACAACGTTCCGCAATTGTCGGTGTAAAATGCGCTTTATTTGTAGCGGCTAGCCCGCCGTTTTCTTTCTTCGCGTTCTTACATACGTCGGCTATACCGCTGCCCTACTTCCTTCGTGGCTCATGGCCGCTCACTGCCGATTTCGTCCTCGGGCCCCGACAGCCTGAGGACTCACGCTCAACCGCGCAAATGCAGAATTGTCCCAGTTTCGGGGATCCGTCTCCGTCCCGCCGACGTCAGGATCTCGTCTCTGTCACGATATCCCGAAATTTGGAGAATTCGGTCGCCACCCTCTTCACACGTCACTCGCGTAACGCGAGACGCAGACCGCGTTAGTTACCTGGTCCCGATCTCGACGCGAGTGGGTCTGCAGATGCTGGCAAGAGCACCGTTGCAAAATCACCCACAGTTTGCAGAAATTAAGCCATTCAAGCCTATTCGTCACCTTTCTTTATATCGATAGTCGCATCCGAGCGATTGTGCGCGACTTTTGCAGTTTCGCACGTTCCTTAAGCCGTAGAATTGTCAGCGGTGACAATTCGGAGAAACTGTCATACGGCGAGATATACATCGAGATAACTCGACGGCTCTTCCAAAAGTCACGGGCTTCAATGGATTAATCGACGGGCTCGATTCTACAGGGAGTAATTCAAGGAAAAAAGAAAATTACAGGATGGGATACACAATAAATAATATAGCGTAATCATGTACGAGAGGGCATGCTGTATGCGCGACGCAGCCTGTCCTCGGCTTCCTAACATTCGATAGACCGGGAGATCTCCCTCGGGAGATCGTAGGGGACAACACGTAGCTCTCACAACTAAAAACACCCCCGTTTTGCGGTACAACTGCGATAATAGTCTACTTAAGTAGGTAACGAAACACACGGTGCTGGGTAATACGCTTCAAACGATAGCTAGAACTTTTGGAGAACATTTACCTTAATCCCGTCCCCGCTCCTCTCCCACCCGCCCCACCCCCTCCCCCCCTTCTCTTAAGCAACCCTTCCGATTTTAATGTATTTCGTCGGAGTACCCGGGCTCGGCCGAGATACGTATCGACCGGCACGGTACGTTCGCGCGTATAGATAGGTACATTTGTAATTACGTAAGCTTATGGCTAATGTATATTCACACGTAATTTTAAAACTACGCGTGACTCTCTCCGCGCCAGCCTCGCGCAGTCATTAGAAGCTTACGAAGTTGTCCGCGTCCCCGAGCTGCAAGACGGGAGAGAGAGAGAGAGAGTTTGGAACTTGCAGACTCCATTGACAAATCACGGGGTACGTACGTAAAGTCGCGTCGGAATCTCCCCGGCGATCGTCATCTTGGCAAACGCCTGCCACCAAGCAATGATATTATCCTTCGCTTTGCTTGCGTGCGCTTATTAAAATTAGCAGGCTCCGATTCGCGAGCGAGGCGGATTGGAATAACGTCGAACTTCGAGCTTATCTCTAGAGGGGATATTTGCGCGGATGTTTAATGCAATAATGTGAAGTATCGCAAGTCGCAATATAGCAGCACCTATTCGCATATAGTCCCTTAGGGTATTCGGAATTCACGGCTGTATTATTTTGTTTGCAATCGCAATCGTGTACCGACAGTCGACTGTACGCTGTGTTATAATTTATACGCTATGACGTTTGATTGTAATACAAAGTTAACGGTAAGTAACAGTGACAAAACGATCGATGCCACTTCCTGCTTGTGCACAATTTAATGCGATCGACGGGCGAATAAAGAGCTCGTTTTTCGCATTCGATGGTTCCGATCTGACACAATTGTTTGCGACGACATAAATCTAACCAGGGAATCGATATTACACGATATTACATTAAGCGCGTGATTTTCTACGAATTTTGTAGAGCACGATGCGTAGCAAACAGTCACATTGTGGACGCTTTCCTTATACATGTAATTGTAAATCAAAATCGATAATAAAGTTATGCATAATTTGAAGAAGGAATGCCGGAAGGAATACCGAGACCGACATCAAGCGCATACGCAAATCGATGAATAAAACATTAAGTGCGCGCGAAAGGAATATTAAGCGCGGATAATGGGGTAATAAATCACATCGAGAAATTATATAACTAGCGTTATCAACGTCAAAGTATTTATCTTGACGTCGATTACATCGAGTTTTCAGAACGTCTTCCAACGAGGAGTCGCTGTCGCGAGCGGGATTCGATGCCGAAGAAAGGCGACGAGATGCCTGAGATAAGAGAAATTAATGAAACGCTTGTATTTAACTTTACGGCAATACGGTTAACGTGAAATGGTCGTATTAAAGCGACGCGTTGAAAGCTTTTATCGGGCGGAATAGCGCGCTATATCGTTAGCAATTAACGTAACTGATAACTCCTAGAGAGAGATGCCTTATCTATATATATATATAGAGTGTTCCATTTTAACTTGAACAGTAAAATATTTCAAAACTAAGTCCAGCAAACAAAAATGTTTCAGGCAAAAGTTGTATATGGTTTCGAGAGGGGCATAAGATGGTACCATTTGGTGCGATTTGCATTTGGATCGTTCGATTTTCTCGACTTGGGTGTACAGTGATGGACAGAATGATTGCGACATTTTTTTTAAATGACTTTAGAATTTTAGGAACGCGCATTTAGATTCAGGTTTACGTCCAAAAATCGTCTTCTCTGAGGAATATTTTACTCGACGGTCATTTCGAAATCATTTTGAGCGTTTTCGATTTATTTCTCGAGTAAACCTTTTCCCAGGGAAAAAGTGTTTTGGAACGTAAATTTGAATCTAAATGTACATTCCTTAAGTCATTGAAAAAAATGCGTTGCAACCATTCTGTCCATTGCTGTACACGTGTAACATTTCAACCGAGAGCTCGCGTAGGCGCGAGCAAAATGGAGCATAACGAAACGGGGGATCAGATTGAGAAGGAGAAGAATAGAGAGAACCGTCTGATAAGAGATGGCGAACGACAATACATTCGTTGTTATTGATCGATAACGATTAATCTCTTTCGCAAGATCGTACCTCGATTTTACGCAATTTTCAGCTTTTGTTCTTAAACGTTCATTCTGGTCCAGAATGGCCTAGTTTACACCGTGCGTTTAGGTCGTTGCCAATACCTTATATACGATTCTATTCACGATAGGTTGTAACGGTGTAAACAATTGTTAAATGACCCGACCTGGCTTGGACCAGGTCTCTTTTCCGATTGCCCTGACCTGATGTTGGTCGCGCGATGTAACGCATGTAAACGCTGGTGGCCTAAACTTGCTCAAATTTAAAGAGATGACATTCAATTAAAGGCGTTCACATTTAAACTTAATTTTTACCCATATGTTATCTATATTCGACCTGAAAGTATTATAGCCGGAAATGGTGTAAACGTTTCATTCGTAAGCTTACTTTGAGTCAAGGTACAGTTCAGGTTGCGCGAACGAAACACGGTGCAAACTAGGCCAATGAGTGTTTAAATACAAAAACCAGAAATTGCGTACACATCGAGATACAAACGTGCGAAAGAGATGAGTCGATACGCGGTGGATATGTAAGCCCGGGCTAAATTCCTAAATTGCAACCGCTAATAAATACCGACGGCTCACGAACCGCGTGTTCAAGTACGTTGTAAATCACGTAACTCCCGTCGCTTCATATTACTCTGCGGAAGATTAATCTACATGGCTCGACGACGTGTGGTCGAAGTTATGTTAAAACAGCGCAGGCCCGACGGGATGATCGGGCCCGCGCGAACAAATGGAAAGTGTAACACGATCCTTGAGCGTGTTCGGAGAGCATGGCTATTAATAAAATTGATTACTAAAAACAGAGGTTTGTACTGTTATTTTTTTTACTGCCGAATAAACTCGGCGAGTTTACCGGAGAGATCCGGCGTATATCTGCACGGAGTGCGCGTCTTGTTTACGAGGAACTCCTCTTTCGATCTCAGAAGAGTACTTT